GGATTATAACCCTCAGGCAGTAGAATTCTCCTTTCTGTGTTGCCAAAGAAGGGCGCTGAACACCTTTTGCAGAGAACCACTTTCTGCGTAGGCGGCCTTCGGCCGCACTTAGGGATTATAACCCTCAGGCAGTAGAATTCTCCTTTCTGTTTTGCGTAGAAAAGGAGCTGAACACCTTTTGCAGAGAACTTTTATATATTTTTAATGCTTACTATCCTATCTTCTTTTGTCTCTCATTCTTTTGCATTTTTTGGAGTTTGACAGCTGAACTCCGCCATTTAATTTGCATATGCAACAGGGAAATGCAATTATTCGTGTTTTTAAGTAATTGGTTGAATAACACAAGAAATAGTGTTAGTGGATATTATTCATTGCAGAATAATCACACATATGCACTAAAAGCTCAAACAGTCAACGACGTAACGTAGACGTAGGTTGACACAGACACGATCTACCTTATGGGATTCGCGTGTTAACGAAAACTCACCACCGCATGGCGGTGACGTTGCCGTTGCTTCTCTCTCTCTCTGTCAACAGTAAAATTGATATGCTGCTACGTACGTCAACCTACGTTTACGCTACGTCGTTGACTAACTGCGCTTTAACACTATTTTACGTTCGGCACACAAAGCGAGAGCATGTACAATGACTAATAGCTGATTCACATACAACTTTCTTCGCTTTGCTTGAAAGTTCTTTGCTTTGACATATAAGATCGATGTAGGCATATGCATGAGTATGCTCACATAAAAAACGTTTGAAGCAAAGCAAAGCAAAACGAAGCAAAATCTTGGGCAACTCTCAACTTTTGCCCGCTTTGGCAATCAGCTGTCTACATGTATCTTTTCTCGTGCGCTTGCATTTGCATTTAATGACAAAAATAGGGTAAATAGGAATTTTTATTGCTATTATTAATGCATATTATTATATTGTTATCTATTTTACAGATACAAAATATGGAGGAAAAGGAGAACGCAAAAGCTGTCAAAGAGTTTATTGTAGCATGCCTTCTGCGTTTTACGTTTTGTGGTCAAAGTTTGAACTGTCAAGCAAAGCGAGGAAAGTTGTATGTGAATGGCCCTTAAGTTCTCTGTTTATATGCATTGGTGTAGTGCTCAATTCTCTCATTGAGCCATTAAACAAATTAGTTATACCGAAATGATTAGGAGCACTAAGAAGCACCAATAGTTCAGTTGAAAGAATTTAGTAATTTTCGTCGTTTATAGCAACAAAACATGTACAAACGACGAGAAAGCGAAAGCATGCGAAGGCACACTAACACACTCTCACTTTTAGCTCACACTTGTTTATGGTGGCGCCCGCATTTCGCAGTGTTGGGAAATGAAACTGTTCCTTCAGTACGAAATCTATACAAAAACTATACTTTTCGACTGTAAATTGCATCGACTTTTTAATTTGCTCATATATTTTCTTAGTACATGCATACATAGATTCCCGTCAAGATCAATGATTTGATGGTATTCATGGGAAAGTTTATGTAGGTACATTTTACACTTTGAACATAAATGTGTGTGCACATATTTTAAGGTACACTTCTTAACAAACAAATTTTTTTAAGTTATTATGCATGTATAAAGACATCTTCTTTGAATTCAGTACTAAAGTTTGACATTTTATTTTTAGTATTTCAAGTGCTTATCAAAACTTTACGACACTCACGTATTGACAAGATTGGCCATTTATCTTAAAATTATTTAATTTTAATTATTTGTTTATAAAAATGCAGTTTATACTTTAATAAAACCCCAAGGTTCACTTTTTGCGCAACATTAAAAAAATCAACAAACTTTCGTAAAAGTTTCGGGCTTTTAACTCGATTTCCTAGAAATACATGTTTTGAGAATGCCGTTTGCAGTCCGATCAATTTAAATAAAGTGCAAGTTTAAAATAGCTGCGACTTATCGTTGATTTTTAATACATATATATATATTTTTTTTGATGGTGTTGCTCATTTTCGCTTCGTTAAAAAAAAAATCGCCTTTAGCTGCTTTAAACTTGCACTTTATTATACTAAAATTGAAATAGAAAGCTCGAAATTTTTACGAAAGTTTTTCGATTTTTTTAATGTTGTTCAAAGATTTAAACTTATTTTCATACAGTTTTTGTTAAGGAATTAACTATATTTTTATAAACAAATAATTAGAATTAAAAAATAATAAAATAAATAGTCAACTCTAGTCAATATATGGGTGTCGTGAAGTTATGATATTTAATAACATAAAGAATTAACGATGACACTGTTTCTAACTATATGAAGCTGATTTCGACATTTTGTTTTAATAAGATTTAGTATCGAAAATATTCTTTCAAAACTTGTCTAGGAATGTGAGGTTGATAGCACACCTTTTGCTATGTTATAATGGTTATTTCAAAACCTTTTTTCAAAACTTACAAAGGCAAAAACGAGAAGGCGAACACAAAAATGTAAAACGAATTCCCGCAGTGAATTTTCAGAACTACGTATATATTTATAGTATTCATCACAAAATTGTACTAAAAAGTACGGCGTAGTAAACGAAATTGTATCAAAAAAGTACAATTGTACCAAAAATGCCAACACTGATGTAGACCAAAGCAGAACACAAATAATATTAAACTCATTGATTTTCAGCCTCTCACTCGACCAAATGAATAAAATCCAGCTGGGTAGACTATACTCGATAGACAAAAATTGCCGCCACAAATAAGAGTTAGTATATTTTGAGTGTTCTTGTTTTGGTGGAAATTACTCTTAGCAATTTTTTGAATTAGTGTAAGTGCTCATTTCCACTAATTTTTTTGGTTCATGAATAAGTACACTAATTTTATTAGTACTCAAAGCCGGTCTCTGATATGCAACCAAAGTCAGACGCGTGATTTTGAAGGTGTTTTTATTTAATGAATTGTGATTAATTGGTTAATATTAAAGTCGTAAAGCAAGTTATAACTAATCGAGTAAAGTGTAAAGTGAAGGGGAATACAAAAATGTATTGGTGAAGTGGCTGCTTTAAGGATAATAGGAGTGATAAATGTACGCTAATTTCCGAATTTTACAAAAAAGGGCATATTTCAAACCCAATTTGTAAATAAATTAGTGACCAAAATTTATAAAAGTGAGTGTTTACATAATGCGTGGACCCTTGACTACAATTGTGTGGAATTTTTTTTGGATCGGGCGACCCCTTTGGACGGAATATCCCGAAACAGTTGTGAGCGCTTCTAAACCCCACCCATTTTAAATTTTTGTATGGTTATTCCACCTATTATTTACCTTCTCATACGTCGCCAGTATATTATTTTTCACCTCTCCAATTAAAGCGCTCATTGGCACCCTGGGCCATTGCGAATCATTCAAAGTTGTTTTATATCCAGCACATCTTAAAGTGAGTTTTGCCATATACTTCCATGTTTCCACCTTAATCTTGATATCTATAAAGGAACCTCCTGTGGTATTTGCACACAATGCAATAACAACTATGAAATAATATATGATTATTTCTAAAGTTTAAGCAATTCTACTAGATGAATATTGGTTCTTTTCTCACAAGGGATAAAAGCACAGTAATCCATTGAACTGATTTCTTCTCGGCTCTCCAAGCAGTACCACATCAATTTCAGCGAAGAAATATGTACAGAACTAATTATTTCTATTAGTGGCTTCCAATCTATATTTGAGAAACTGTAATGAATACATTTAAATTAGGCAATGTCGTATCATCACATAAATACTAACTTGTTTTTTAAAATAGTGCAACATCTTCGGGATGTGTCCAATACAAACTTCAGAAAACAACATATCCCAATGAAATGCAAACTTTTCTCATCTTTTTGGACTCGCTCTAAAAAAGTATTCGAAGCTTTCAGCCAGGAAGTCAACTTACTTAGTGCCCCATCAATTTCATGCTCGGTGTTTACCTCCACAAAATTGGACTAAAATATAACAATTACCTATTCGAAATATACAAACATTTTTTTAACACCCACAATATTTTCAAAATTCTTTTGGCAGCAGAGTGTTAACCGCCTCCAATCTTCTTCGCAAAAGTTTTCGAAACTGTAAACAATCCTTAATTTGCTTATCCACAAACTAAGTATTTCACCGGCAGTCACCTGCCCGTGTTCCACTGCGTAAGCACATATACCGAACACTCGTTCCTTCGAAATTTTCTTTGTTATAAATGCAATATCAGCATTTGTGAGCCATGCTAAATTTATATTTGTATTTTCGACGTTTTCCATCATCAAATCGGAAGCTTAAATTAAATTCACAAATAGCGGGCTAAACAATAGAGATTCCTCAAAACAATTGAAAATTAAATGATATCGATACCAAATACTTCTTTTTACCGACCTTAAAAAAGGAGGAGGTTATCAGTTCGTCTGAGTACCGGGGTTCACACCAAACTAAATAATCGGTAACTTTAAATTCAGTAATTTTTCTAAATATGTGTTTAAATATAAATATAATCTCAAGGTCCCCCGATTTTAGGGTTACCATTGGAACCGTTTTAAAGCTGGAGATCCAACCTCTTCAAAAATACCCACCTCTTGGGGCGGAAGTCTTATTATTTTTTAAATACTTAGGCTATCTGCACACTTGTCGTCTAATCATAGTTGCGTTATCGTCTCGCCCTGAACTTTTGGGCCGAGCAAATGCATTTCAAAGGAGATCCGCACACTTGTCGTTATCGGCAAATCGTAGAAGATGCAGAAACGGATAAATACGGCCTGTTTGCTAATCGTTGTGTACGCATCGTTTGTTTAGATTTTATGGGGAAAAATTAGTGAAAAAGTTAATATTTGCATTAAAATTGCATACAAAATAGTGTCTTTGGCATAAAATCTGTCGAAATTATTAGAAAGTGGATAATTGCAATAAAATTCAATAAATGTGGGCGTTTTAACTATAAAACGTGACGCAATTATAAAAAGGCTCTGTGTGCATGCACAAAACACATTTCGGGAGAAGAAAAGAAGAGATATTACTGAAAAATTATGTCTAGAATTGTTGCAGCAAAGTCCATATTTTAAAAATTGCAGGTTTTGTAAATATTTCGCAAAAATATCAACCAGAAAAACAGAAAATATTTTCTCCAAATCAATTTTTAGACGCCAAATGAATTGAAATATCACGACCGAGTGTGCGAAAGTAACTAAGGCTTTCTGCACATTGGTCGTCCAATCATAGTTACTTCATCGTTGCAATAATGATGCAACGATTACATGACGACGACGGTTTGGCACACTCGGTCGTGATATTTCAATTCATTTGGCGTCTAACAATTCACTTGGGGCAGGTATTTTCTGTTTTTCTGGTTGATATTTTTACGAAATATTTACAAAAACCTGCAATTTTTAAAATATAGACTGCGCTGCACCAATTCTAGGCATCATTTTTCAGTAATATGTCTTCTTTTCCTGAAATGTGTTTTGTGCATGCACACATAGACTTTTTACAATTTCGTCATATTTTATAGTTAACACGCTCACATTTATTGAATTTTAATGCAATTATCCACTTTTTAATAATTTCCACACATTTTATGCAGGAAATACTAATTTGTATACAACTTTAGTGCAAATATTAACTTCATCACTAATTTTTCCCCACAAAATGTAAAGAAACAATACGTGCACAACGATAAGCAAACGACAGGGCCGTAGTTATCCGTTTGTTCATCTTCTACGATTTGCCGATATCTAGCCGATGACAAGTGTGCAGATCTCCTTTGAAATTCATGTGCTCGGCTCAAAATTCAGGGCGAGACGATAACGCAACTATTACCATGTTATTACCGACATCGAAAACATGTTTTCGTTGCTAAAACTGGTTTTCGACCTAAAATTTGAGTTTTCGTCCATGTAAAATCTGTCAAACGAAAACAAGTTTTCGCTGAAAACCACTTGAAAACTCACGTTCCACTCATTCCAATCGGTGTCTGTACTAGTTTTTTTTTCGATTATTTATCGAAGTGGAAGTCATATTTTATCATCTTTAATACGCCATTTCGGATTTATTGTTAATTGGCTGACCAAAATAAAATAAGCATGGAAGTAAAAGTTTGTTAATTAAAAGAAATTGAAGGAAAAGTATTTTGGTTTTGTATTTGTGCAGCAAAACTGTAAACTAAGGATGTAAGAAATGTCAACGAAAATACCAACAGTCGGTGTGAACAGCCTTCAACCCACAATCCCAAAACTCGTTTTCAAAGTGTTTTCGTTGCCGGTGAGAACATTGTATATGAGTGGACGACAAGTGTGCAGATAGCCTTAGTATTCAAATTGTTTTACTTGCATTTTATGATTTAAATTTATTTCGCATTCGCATTTGTACTACAGAAGGTGGAGGTTGTATTTGTCTAAGTATTTCTTGTGCCTATTGTGAGTGTGAAGTGTGTGTCAATTGTTAAGTGTAAAAGTTGGATGTTCTATTGTAAAGACTAGGTATTAAACCCCTAAAAAAAAAAACCAAAAAACTAAAAAAAAAAAAAAAAAAAAAAAGAAACTTGTGCTAGTGCTTGATCCAGACGTTCTTACTAAGGTGAGTGCTACAGTTCTTTGTGATTGGCGGCAGCCAAAATGGACAGCGACGCCTCGGCGTCAGAGAAGGGGGAGCCAAACCAGGAGCTGGACACCAATCCAGCGTCAGACTGGTTTGAGGTAGGTAGAAACAGAAAACAAGCTGCAAGGAAAAGACAGATGAATAAAACTACAAAGGGGGGTCTTCCAATAGCTGAGTCAGAAACAGACGACGACTGTACCAAACGGACGGACACAGCAAGTACTACCAAAAAATCTAAGACAGACCAAGCTAACGGCACTTGCATCCCGTTACAAGGAATGTTAGTGAAGAGAGGAACATACGCAAAAACGACGACAAAAAACTTAACGGGCACTGCGGACATGAACAGCGAAAACAAGGAGAAAGAAACTTACAAACACTCTGACTGCGAACAAACACGTGCGACAGAAAGCAAAGGTGCGAACAACAGGGAAAAAGAAAAAGAACACATGGACAGTGTGTGCTATACAAAAAGGCACAGGGGAGATTATTGCGTTCTGGTGGACACCTCAAAATCCAACACGATAAACAACGAAAAAATGCGCAATGGCCTATTCCTTTGGGATATTATAAGACATTTTAATATTGAGGGGATTAAAAACATAAAAGCCATAGGTAGATCACTCTACAAAATTTTTTTTGAAAATTTTGAAGCTGCAAACAAGTGCGTTAGCAATCCCGACTTAATTAAAAATCAAATGAGACCCTTTATACCAAGAAGCTTGGTAGAAACAACTGGTGTTGCTAGACAAATACCTCTTAACTTCACTGAGGAAGAAATAAAAGAAAATATCATTTCAGATATTCCTGTTACAGCTATCTCAAGAATTACCAGAAGAGATCCCAATGACAAAGAGAAGTTCATTCCAACTCTCTCTGTGAAAATAAGTTTTGAAGGCAACGAACTACCAGAAACCATAGACATTTTTTGCGTAAAAATCAAAATGGTTCACTACATTCCTAGAGTTAGGCATTGTTACAACTGCGGCAGACTAGGGCACACAAAAATGGCCTGCAGAGCAGCCAACAGATGCATTATCTGTGGCAAGGCAGAGGGCTGTAGTAGTAAATGCAATGAAACCACAAATTCGTGCATACTATGCGGAGGGGATAATCACAATTCACTCGAGAGCAGGAAATGTTCTAAATGGGCCAGAGAAAAACAGGTGGTCGCAATTATGACAATAAAAAAAGTATCTAAGTCTGAGGCGATTGGGATGTACAATTTAAACAATAATAACCGTTTCTCAGCTCTAGAAAACTATGAGGGAAATTTTCCACAGTTAGAAGCAAAAAGTACAGCAAGGATCAACAATGATGAAACAGTAAATAGAAAACTCACTACATATAAATACAATTATGTAGTTAGAAATCATCAAACCCACACAACAGCTACACCTAACCATTCCAAAATCTTGCCGAAAGCTACAACCAAAACACAACCCGTCTATGAAATGCCGAATTGGTCTAAGGTCACAGAGATTGAAAAGCTTGTAAATCTCCTTATACAAAGGTACGACATTGACGTTAATGACCCCTTGGTTAACCTAATTCGCAATATAGGCGCAGTACACATTGAAGACAAAACTCCAAGTAACAAAGATGACAAGTCCAATAAAAATATTACAATATAACGTACAAAGCCTTAAAAGTAATAAAAACTATGTAGACTTCTTTAACACTAGTAATAACATTGATATAGTCTGCCTTCAGGAAATTTTTTCGCATGACAACCATACAACTCAACACAATTTAATGAACTTCAACTTACTCAGAAAGACTAGAATCGATGGATATGGTGGCGTAGGAATCGGATTTAAAAAAGGTATAAAATTTACGAAAATCAAATTTGTTTCAAATTACGACATTCTAATAGCCAAGACGATTAATCTTATTAATAATTTAACTATTTGCAATATTTATTTTCCTCCCAACCTTGACAGTTTAAATTTTACTAACGAACTGAACCGTGTAGTACTTTTTCTTAACAATCATGAAAACGTTATTATAGCAGGAGACCTCAACGCTAGGCATCAAGTGTGGGGAGACAGAATATGCAACACCAAAGGAAAAATAGTTGTTGACGAAATCAGGAACACCAATCTCCAGTGCATCAACAGTGGAGCAATCACTCACCGCACCGGTAACAGTGCAGGAACGGCAATTGACATAACTCTGACCAACATTAACAGCAGTTACACAAAATGGCACTGTCAACAAGTCCATTTGGGAGGCAGTAAGCATTTCCCCATCATCGTTGAGGTCACTAATAGCAGCAAAAAGCCCAACTATTTCATCCCCAAGGAACGACTCGCCCAGGAACTTGCTCAGTTAAAATTCTCTGACTTAGAAAATATCACGACAGAAATAGACAGCGTTAGGAACAGGATTAAAATTGACTTGAACACATCCAGGCGTACCCCTAAAAACTGGTGGAGTGATGACCTCAAAAAACTGTACAGATTACATGTCGCTAAACGCAAAAAAGCTAATCATACTAACAATGTTGAAGACATGGAAGGGCCAATTATAGCAACTAGTGACTGGAAAGAAGCGGTGTAGGCGGCAAAGAAAGCGAGCTACAACAGTAAAATTTAGGAGATAAACACTTGCCCCAACTCGACACAGACGTGGAAATTCATAAGAAATGTCAAAGGCAATAAGCGCGCGTCTCACAATTGGGCAGCTGAAGATGACCGAAACTACTTAGAACTGATAAGGAATCAAGCTCAACAAGCCAGCAACCCTTGTAATGTCATCACTCCAACCACCGCTGCATCAGTAAATGCCAACAACAGCGTTGACTTTTCATACAGCAGATTCGAAAATTTATTAGCAAGAAAAAAATCTACTGCTGGGGGTTTCGACAGAATTACGTTTAATACATTAAAGCAATTGTCCACTGAGTCCAAACAGTCGTTATTAGACGCCCTAAAAGAACATTTCTACAGCAACAGGGTCCTAGACGCATGGAGACAAATAAAGGTAATTCCAATACCGAAAGCAAACAAAAACACTGAGGACATAAATAACTTTAGACCCATTTCACTCATATCTGTCGTAGTAAAGAGCATTAATATGATGGTGAAAGAATCGCTGAACGAGTTCCTGGAGACAAGCAATAGACTTCCCAAGAAGAGCTACGTCTATCGAAAAATGAGATCAGCAACAATGTGCATTAACGAAATGCTACACCTTATAGCAGAAAGAAAGAAATGTAGGGAATATGCTATGATTTGTTTCTTAGATATGTCGGACGCCTATAATAGAGTAGATCTTGTTACACTTCATAATATTCTTCTACAATGCAACATTGACCCAACAATTGCAAACTGGATTAACAACTACTTTTCTAAAAGACATCTGACCCTAGGTAATCACACTGTTGAGGTAAACTCTGGCCTACCTCAAGGTAGCTGCCTTTCCCCAACGCTATTCAATATTTATACAGCCCAACTGCACGAAATTAATAACTCTCAGACTCAACTATTTCAGTTTGCCGACGATCTTGCGTTAATATCCACTGGCACAAACAGATTCTCTGCAGCTCAAAATTTACAAAACAAAATAGAAGAATTACAGGCAAAATGCGACAGCTTAAATCTCAAATTTAATCTGAACAAAACAAAATTCATGTATATGTCTGCAAACAATAAACAAACCTTTAGTGTATCCATCAACGGCCTAAACATTGAACAAGTCCATCACTTCAAATGGCTGGGAAGAACAATTAGCGCGAACTCAACCATTAAGGTACACATTAGTGAAATTAAAAAAGCAACAACTTCAGGTAAAAACCTTATTTCTAAATTAACATCTACCAAGTCAGGTATTTCACCTAAAACTTCTATAAATCTTTTTAAAGCGTTTGTACGATCCAAAGCAGAATATGCCAACACCAGTTACGCCAATGCCCCTAAAGGGTATAACAAGCAGCTACAAACCAATGTAAATGAAACGTTGAGGAGATGCCTCGGAGTTCCTCCAAACACTCCAACACTCATGAGATACGCGCTGGCTTGTGAACTTCCACCTCTTCCCAGAGCTGTATGGCTTACGGCCAAGGAACTTGTCAAACAGTGGTTGATCAATCCTGAACTTAGAATACAGATCCAGAACAGACCTCCCATAAATTCCAGCTACAGCATAACGTACGAAAAATTTAAAGCAATTATCAACACCATAGATACAAATGTAGCTTTCAAAAGACACCATAACCTCACCTGCTACGAATCTGAATTGGCCCAGTCCAAAAAGAACGTTACCCCTACACAACTCAGAGCTATCTACAACCAAAAAATTAACACGCTAAAAGAGGAAGGTTTCAAAGTGTATGCCACTGATGCATCGGTGTCAGATAACAAAATTGGCTGTGCAGTCTATGTGGTAACGGCTAACGTCTCATACCTGTTCAATATAGATGGAAACTTCACATCAACTTACGGTGAGCTAGTAGCACTTTCTCAAGCAATCACGATAGCCATTAATAATGATAGTAAAAAAGTAGCAATCTTTACAGACAGTCAGAGTGCAATTAAGGCCCTAAAAAGCCGCACCACACACAATTTCCTAGTAGCTGAAATCCATAACAAACTTTATCACTCCCAAATAGAAAACATTGCAATAGTCTGGACACCTAGCCATGTGGGTATAACCATAAATGAAAAAGCGGATATAGCAGCAAAAACAGCAGTTGACCATGGTAAATCTTTACCCCCAAAACTCACACCTTGTGAAGCACTGAGAAGGATTAGCAAAATGTTGTGGACTGAAGCCAAACAAGAATTTACCAACAAACTTCCAAACTGGGACCCGGACATAGTAGAATTTTGCACGCCCAAAGAAAAACAGCCATGGTTTAAAAACAAAAATGTAGACTTAGAAGCATACGACATAAAACTTTTTAACAGAATAGCTACTGGACACACGTACGGTAGCACTTATTTAACCAAATTTCAGCATTACAGATCAGACAATTGCAGCGCATGCAACATAAAAGAAACTCCTGAACACCTCATATTTGATTGTATCAAATATAACAACTTACGTAATGATAATTCTCTTTTCCGAAACTACCAAAATTTCAAACAGATTCTTCTTTCAAAACTGCCTGCCACATACAAACAACTGGCCGACTTTCTACATAGAAGTGGGCTGGATAAAGCACTATAAAAAAAAAACAAAAACAAACAAGGTATTGAATGAAAAAAAAAAAAAACAACATAAGAATTTTAGAAAAAATAAAAAAATTTAACTTAGAAAGTATTAAAATATACAAAACTATTGTATGTTTTATACAAATGAGATAAAATATACTCAACTGATTAGTTTCACTACTAGTTATATATCAACTTATAACATTCGTTTAAACAAATGTACTCAATCTGTCATTCTATGTTTGTGTTTTCAGTCTTGGTGTATTGTCTTATGTAGTCTTGTGTTGTTCTTAAATGTCATAAAATAAGAATGAGGAAAGCAGCTGTTACGCTAACATCAGCCAGAAAGAAGCAACATCAAGGAGTCGTATAATAAAACACTCTTCAACGCGGAATTTCAACAAAACACGTCGATACAAGATAAATGGAAGCAACATTGTCCAGCAGTTTAGCCGAAAGATTACAACTAACCAAACAATCGTTCGCAGATAGACTGGTGTTATGCTAAAGGAAGCTGTAATCCACAGCGTTTGGGACAAATAGCATTTCGACTTAGAAAAGAAACACTAACGTATTCAAATGGTATAAGACAACGATAACCACTGAATACATCACGTTTTAATAACCGGCTATTTAAGGTGTATAAACCTAGCCATAAATGGAACGTTCGATTTGTTCCTAAAGCCCCAAAAAAAAAAAAAAAAAAAATTTATTTCAGGAACGGGTCCCCGTGGTTGCCAGCCATAGATTTTTGGCTATAAGTTAAGAATCCGAACATTGCAAAAACTAAAAAAAAAAAAATTGGTAACAGCGTTGATAGAGGTTTTTGAGACAAATACAACAGTATACTTTTTTTGGGGCAGAAACAACGAAACAACAACTAAGGCAGTTATTAAAGGTCAAAACTCAAATGTAGCGCTTTTTCAAATCGATATATCTCGAAAACCGTCGCACGGATTCGCTTCACTTTTCATTTGTTTACAATTTGTAGAAAATGGATTTTGATTTGAGTTGGGAAGATGATAGTGATTCGGAATACGAAGAGGCACACCAGCAAATCAATTTCATTTGAACCGAAATTAATTCTACTCTTATTTTCTGACATTATTATTAATATCCAAATTTTGCTTGCTTTGTAAGTAAACACACTCAGCTCACCCACGGAAATAAACAACAAGTAATTAAATATTTTATAACATGCACTAGCAAAGTGACCTTTTCATTTGTTTACAATTTGGTTGTCAAGCACACTACAGCTGTCCGTTTGAAAAATGGTAAGTTCGAACTCATACGGGATCACAACTAATATTTAATACTTCCGAATACTTCCATTTACTGTCTTTGTTGCTACTCCATCATTTAAATATACTTTTTAAAAACTCTCAATTTTTCACAATTATTTTATTTCGATCTTCACAGTATTTATTTGCACTGTTGGAAAATAAAAGTAGAACTTAAGACGCCAATATTCTCGACTTAAGGTGAACTTAAGTTGCACTTAAGTTTTTGTTGAAAAAGTGGTTGATGAAATGCAAAATCTAAGGCTATCTGCTCACTTGTCGTCCAATCATAGTCTCGCCCTGAAATTTGGGCTGAGCACATACATTTCAAAGGAGACCTGCATGAACCAAAAATACAAGATCACGCCTTCTTCTTAGTAGCCCGTTATAATCGCATTTAGGAAAAAGTTGGGCGACTTTAACATTAGCCGTTTGTTTACATTTGTTCGTTGTTTACAATTTGGTGGTGGCTTTTTACTGCAATTTTCTTAATTTCCGCTTGTGACAACGTGTGTACACGTAAGGTAAGGAATAATTTAACGACATGATTTATAGAAGAATTTGCATAATAAAAATGATTATTCATGCGTTCAACAGTTACGCGGGAGACCTGCACACTTGTCGTTACCGGCTAGTTATCGGCAAATCGTAGAAGATGCAGAAACGGATAAGTACGGCACTGTCGTTTGCTAATCGTTGTGCACGCATTGTTTGTTTACATTTTATGGGGAAAAATTTGTGAAAAAGTTAATATTTGCTTTAAAATTGCATAAAAATTAGTGTCTTTGGCATAAAATCTGTCAAAATTATTAAAAAGTGGATAATTGCAATAAAATTCAATAAAGGTGAGCGTTTTAACTATGAAACATGACGAAATTGTAAAAAGTCTCTGTGTGCATGCACAAAATACATTTAAGGAAAAGAAAAGAAGACATATTACTGAAAACTTATGTCTAGAATTGTTGCAGCACAGTCCATATTTTAAAAATTGCAGGTTTTTGTAAATATTTCGCGAAAATATCAACCAGAAATACCTGCTCCAAGTAAATTTTTAGACGCCAAATGAATTGAAATATCACGACTGAGTGTGTGAAAATGTAATCGTCATGTAATCGCGGCATCATGATTGTGACGATGAAGTAACTATGATTGGACGACCAATGTGCAGAAAGCCTAATGCAGCGTTTTTGCTGCATTTAAAATGCAACATTTAGCACTTTCGAACATATGTTTTCGAAGAGCGTTCATGCTATCGCAGTCACAGTATACCAGTAGAAAAGGTTTTTTTGTTGTGGCTGTTAATTTGGTCCCCATAAAGGACTTGAGGGTTGCCAGCAACTGTTTTGCCGCATTCAGGGTGCTGTGCAGCAAAATAATGTGGTGAAAAATTTTAACATCGGATAACTGGCGAGAGAAATATTGTTGTGCGCTTTATAAGTAAATATCACCGTAATAAAATGTTTTATACTTCAATACAACTAATTAGCGCTATTTTTGCAATTCGAAATGATCTTAAACATATTTGTAGTTAAATATGTACTTTATGAGTTAAATGCAAACTATCTTATATGTAAAAATATATTCCGATTTACTTCAAATAAATGATGTAAAATGTTTTATATATGGATCTAGTTTTAATAATAATATCTAGTACTTTCATCTACATTGCTTTTATTGTAAGTTTTCACGATTAGTTGCAGTTCTCTTCAATTGTCTCTGGCCGACTATACATGCTAAAGGTAAATAATTTCACAATTTCTACCCTATTAAACGTTTTTATTTTACTAAAATGTGATCAATTACTTAAGAATATATAATTTCCGATCAAACTATAACACTGAATGCTTGAGAAACAATTATTTAATTCAAATGATCAATAGTGAACGCAATCGGAGCGAATTTCGGAACACTGAGCGAATTATGCATATTATCAGTAAATTATTTCTAACTTTCTACCCTATTAAAAGTTTATATTTTAATAAAATGTGTTCAAACTATAGTACTGAATGCTTGAGAGACAATTATTTAAATCAAATGATCAATAGTGAACGCACTCGGGGCGAATTTTGGAACACGGAGCGAATTATGCATATTAACACTAAATAATTTCTAACTTTCTACCGTATTATACGTCTATGTTTCAATCTAATATGATTAATTACTGAATAATATATAAACTCCGATCAAACTTCACTACTGAATGCTTGACAAACAATATTTGAATCAAAAGATCAATAGTGAACGCACTCGGAGCGAATTTTGGAACACGATATAAAATATTGATGTTAAGACTAAGTAATTTCTCATAATCTTATATTTTAATATAATATAATTCATTAATGAAGAATATATCAACTCCGATCAAACTATAGTATTAATTGTTACAAACTATTTGAATCAAATGATCAACAGATAGCGCGCTCGGAGCGAATTTTGGAACACTTCATAAAATATTTACAGAGGAAGTACATTATTTGGTAGAGATCAAAATGTATTTAACAAAGTGTGATTGAATTTGACATTGCTCTCAGAAGAACCATCCTATAAAGTCAAATTGAAAAAAGATTGTATGAATTTTAATCGTTTGTTTATATTTTTTTACATAATAGTATCTTAAAAGAGAGCCGCATTGAGTTGTCAATAACACCTTGGGCCGTATGCATAAAAACTAAGCAATTACTTTTTCTCAGATTTTCATACCTTTCACTTAAATTTATTTGAAAAGGTCTGAAATTTTAAGAAAAAGCATTTGCTTAGGTTTTATGCATACGGCCCCTTGTTTAATACACCCATGATACAAATATTTAAAGGTAAAACCGCTTGCACAATTCGTCGGCCATCATTTACTTTTTGAAGTTTGTCTATTTTATAAAATTGAAATTTTGAGAGCAACTCAAATGCCAAATAAAGGTAAAACAAATAGATGAAAATATTGAAATTTTCATTTACTTGACACTGATAATGAGAATGTATTTGTGAGATTGGAAATTTGAAAACATTTTTGTAATGTTACCAAACTTTCAACGGTTTTACCTTCAGATTTTTGTATCATGAATACACCTTAGTCGAGATATCACGAACAAGTTTTCCTTTATTAATTTTTACTTAAAATCCTTAAATATGTATTTTGATTTTTTTCTGTAGAATACGTATTAATTTTTTTTTTTTTTCCGATTTAAAAAAAGGGAGGACGGTCGGATCTACGTAACCAGAACGACCTGAATGCGCATTGAAATCGGTTGTATTTTTTGCTAAAAATTATTTGTTATTATTGAGATACAGTTTCGCTACTGTTAAGAGATTTCTCGACATACTCTTTCAAATTACTGTTATTTATTATTTTTCTTATTAGTCATTTATATGTTTAGGACTTACTGTGGGTGCTTTAAGAATTCATTTTGTAAATATGTATGTACATATAAAAAACAAATGCGATATTTTATTTTAAATTATGAATTTTATTCGTGCAATTTTTTATGTTTAATAGTTTTGAGGACATTGAGGTTGGTTGGGTTGATTCTTTTATTGCATGCCTTAAACTTTTTTACTTTAAGTTATAATGTTGAAGATATGCCTTCTTGCTTTGTCAAGCACTTTAGCTAGGTGCGAGAAATTTAGCATATGCGCGTAAGAGCATAGAGTAGGTATACGGCTGTGCTGCCGCGATTCTCCAACATCTTGTCATCTACGAAAAAGCGATCACTGAATCTGAACTGCTATGAGCGTGTGTATTCAAAGCAAGTGCTGCGTTCGTAGCTATTCGACCTTAATAGCATTTTCGTAGATTTCACGAAAAATCGGACTACGATGGATTCTATGATAGCCTTGATTAGTTCGTGCGATTATGACTTATGGATCGATTATGGATGGGAACGGAACCTCAGTTGGGTTGCCGATGGACAGCGCCACTGAAATGAAAATGTTTTTTATTATGAATAGCAATAATTAAGTTTCATAAAGTTCAAGGTGGTACAATTTAAAAAAAAGTTGAAAAAAGAAATAAAGTATCTCAATCAAAAATTCCCGGCAGCCACAAAAACGCACTTAGTTGCCAGCTTTCAGTTGCTAGTTGCCATCGGTAATACCATTTCAGCCACTGGCCAACCAACTGAAGTTCGGTTGTCCTCCGTAATCGACCCATAAAATCGGAATCGAATATGCATGCACGTTCTGCTGAACGATAAACATTTTTTAAATGTGTGCTCTGTCCGCTAACGAATTCCAGCCATGTGTGAAATATCGTATGTGAAGCGTCCGTCTGACTTAACGATTGTCAAAGGCATGCCAGAAGATGTTTCATCATATGTTTTCGGCCATCGTCTTCTTCGACTAAGTTCATCGATACCAAAAACTTTACAACCTATATTTGCCAGCAGCCCTTAGTGTTTTTGCCAATGACATGGTACTATTGCACTGTTAATAACCAAATTAAGCCGCAGTTGCATTCACTCGTGATATAATAGCTAGTGTCGGCAAGCTGTGGGAATGCCCAGGAGATGGCGTTTGTTCAGCTATCGAAATAATTACACCGACGGCGGTGGGCAGCTCTGCTGGAACATATTTACCACAGCGGTGGTTGCGGCATTTTGTTCTGCAGCAATAGCCTGCAATGATGACTATAATGTCGACGAACAAAGATATAAAATTTAAAATGACTAACCTTATGCCCTGCCGATTTGGGAGACCACCCTTGGTCACGACCAGAACGCATTTACCAAGAGGAAAAACCGTAGGGATTGCAGTAGTTCTTGCAATCACCGTTGATGATGCTATGCTTGTAATTAATAGTCTGAAAATACAAAAAAAAGCATTAATGAAATCTTATACACATCAAATAAATAAATTTCAATAATTTGTTTACCATTTCACAAACCGAATTACCAAGAATTAGAAACTCACCGCGATGCGATACAGAAATAAAAACCAACAGGGCTGCATTTTCTTGGTAAACAACACAAGCGCTCAGAGCAAACTGATCCGCAAAATTATTTTGTGAAAAATAACTAATAGTTGAAAAGAGTTTTACACATGATTATCACATTAACTCATAAGTGCAAATTATTGTGATTATTTTTAGTTGCATATAATTGTATTACCTTAGACTTTTTTTAAATGTTTTCTAATATTCATTCTTTTGGGACGCAAAAGCAACCATGCGCTCAATTTCTTGTGGCGAAATTTGGTCCCCATAAGGGACTTTCACCACGAAACAGCTACAAAAACAAAAACCTTTTCTACTGGTATACTGTGATCGCAGTTGGCAAATGTACATTTACGCGAGTTCGAAATCGTATGCTTTTGACTAACAGCCGTGTTCCAGTCGCTTATTCAGATCCGTATGTATTACGATCAATTCTCACGCAGAAGATAATGTACAAAAAACCCCACTGAAAAGCAAAAAATAAATTTTAAACCGAAAATTCAATATAAAAACTTGAGTTGTTTTAACCATAACCGAACATTTATTTGTGTATATATTCATTTGTCGGTGCTGTCAATTAAAATTTCCTCACATAGATAGGAAACAAAACAAACAGAGTTGATCACAAATTGATTCAAATTTCTATCAGCATCACATCGATGTTGAATTTGCGTAACTTTTCATTATCCAAATAATGTAAAACAATAAATGAAATCGCGATCGGCGATCACTGAAACGCAGCTAGCCCCTGTATAGGCGCACGGTGCAGCGAACAAAGGTGGCGCCGTCAGTGGTACCGCTATTTTGGTTTTGCCGATTTTGACAGTTGTGGTAACTTGTAAATAAACCTTTGTTTACAAATCCGCGAAGAAGAAATTTGAATTATAAGTGAAAAATCAGTTTGAATTGTGTTAATTTGCAATTTGTGAGTGATTTTTGAGTTGGAGACTGCGTAAAAACTAATACAATGAAGTGCCGTGTGTTAAATTGCGACGGCCGTCTAGATGCAAAGAGCGTAGATGCAAAGATTTACGTTCTTTACTAGTTTCAACTTTAATCAGCAAATTTCTCCTCCCAGACTTTGAAGATTATGAAACCCTTACTATTACTTTTCATTTTATGGAACCCCAAATCAAACTACTAAGGGCCAGCTTTTCAGTGCCAGTTTAAACTTAGCTCAACACCCCTACTCTGCAACTCTTTCGTATTCGGATTTTGCTACGAATCGTAGAAATAGTATACTGCAATCCGAATCGTATTGTCCAACTCTCGAAATTCGTAAAAATGGCATGCCTCAAAACGTCGTTCGTAAGCTTTTCTACGTAATTTTGTACGAAAACAATTCTGTGTCGGAGGTGAAATAAAAGATGTAAATTGATGTGTGTTTGCAAGAAATATTAGTGGTGTTCATTTAAACAGATAATTTTGTCTTTCGCATATACGTATATTTTTATCCACTGCTTTATATAAACGAGCAAAAAGAATATTTATTGCCCCTTATAGAGAAACTTGGGTCCAGTTTAGTTATTTGTACAATGATTTTCGGTTGTTGTGTCCAAACGCAGACCCCGAATCCAAAAACTTTAAGATACACGTGTAATCAAAGAATTAAAATTTTATTTAAAATAAATGTTACAAATATCTGACCACTACCCTGCCAGCCACGGCTCACCACTTTCCCCTAAAATTCAAACGATTTACAAACACATTCACAACTTTTTAGTCATCTCACCAACACACTTACAAATTTTTTGTTCGAACTGTCAAAAAATGTCCCTTTGTTAGAGCTACATACACGATAAGAATTCGTACTCTAACAAGAATTCTATGCGTTAGAGCGAGCAAGTTAGAAACATCGGAGTTTTGATGACAGTATACATACTGTGAAGAAATGTCACTACGAAAATTTTGAAGGTAAGAATACGTATTTAACAATTTTATTTAATTATAATGTAATTTCTTCTTTTAGAATGCAAAACAGCAGCGACTTAGTCTCATTCTTAAGGTATGTATTGAGACTTTTTATATGTTTATAAATTTTAATTGATATTTTTGCTTGTGTACAGATTTGGGATTCACTATCAGCACCTTCAACGCTTGCATCTTCATCGCCAGGAGCACCATTAGAACCTTCTGCCCTCAGCTCCTTCATCGCCAGGAGCACCACCAGTAGTACCTTCTACCCTCAGCTCCTTCATCGGCAGGAGCATCATGAGTACCTTCCGCCCTCAGCACCTTCAACGCCAGGAGCACCTTCAAAGTGTAGGTCCAACTTGTCAAATTTTGCAAAGTTGTAAGAAAACTTAATTTTTCTGAACCACCATAAATGATTTGCAACTGTTAATATATATCAAAAGAAAGCTAAACCGATTACCTTTCTTTTGATTATAACACCGTTAAAATGGCTTTATGTTTTCATAAAAACTTTGCAACTTTTGTAAACAGCTATATATAAGCAGTGGAAAAGTGGTAAAATTTTGCAAAGTTGTAACAAAACAGATTTTTTGTGACTAGTGTAAATGATTTGCAACTGTTAATATATATTAAAAGAAAGGTAAACTGATTACCTTTCTTCTGATTATAATATTGTTAAAATCGCTTAACTTTTTTTATAGAAATTTTGCAACTTTTGAAACCGTCTATATATAAGTCGAAAAAACGCAATCAAATTTTGCAAAGTTGTAATAAAACTGAAGTTTTGTGAACCAGTATAAATGATTTGCAACTTTTAATATATATCAAAAGAAAGGTAAATCGATTACCTTTTTTATGATTATAATATTGTTAAAATCACTTAACTTCTTTAAAGAAATTTTGCAACTTTTGTAACCGTCTATATATAAGTCGAAAAAACGCAATCAAATTTTGCAAAGTTGTAATGAAACTGAATTTTTGTGAACCATTATAAATGATTTGCAACTTTTAATATATATGAAAAGAAAGATAAATCGATTACCTTTCTTTTGATTATAATATTATTAAAATCGCTTAACTTTCTTATAGAAATTTTCCATGTATGTGCAAATGAGTAATACTAATAATAAGAAATTAAGCCAGCGCATATGTATGTATGTAAAAATATATTTATTACTGTTAATTACAAGTTTTATTCATAATATTGGTTATTAAGTATGTATATTATGCATTTAAAAAAAAAAAATTTGCAAAGTAAAAATCAAAACATTTTAGGATTTTGTATTTAAAGTTTCCAAGGTTATTTTGAATTCGCTGTGAAGAGAATGCAACCCTGAGCCGGCAGAAGGGGGCAATGCTAGACAAGTGCAGCTATATGTTTTCCTTACGAATTATCTGAATGAGTGCGACAGTGATGCAAGGCTCACACGTACAGGGGGAAAGTGGTGACAATCTGCACACCGCCCATACAAATGTCACCAGTTTGTCACCAGAGTTGAAGTGACTGAAACCCGCGGTTTCACCAGATATTTCACTTGGCTGGCAGGGTAGCTTTTAAATAAATTCGATTTGCCCCAGAGATGGAATTCCAAAATTTCAAAATGTGCCTAATGCTCTGCAAAAGAAAAGGAGCTGAAAGTGCCACAAAATTGAAATGGCTTTTTTAAGGCTTTTTAAGAACCACATATGTATTTTTATAAATAGTATTTTTAATGTACTTCATTGAATTATTAGAGTAAAATCATAGTAAAATGGTGTGTATTTCTATAATTCTAATTTTTTAAAGGAAAAGTGTTAACTCACAGGTGGTCCCATACTAATTTGGTTTAAATCCGATAATTGGATCATGAATGAATTAACGATAATCTCAAATTTTTATATGAGAATTGAATCGGTTTTGTTTTTTGTTTGAAAATTACTTGTTCTAATTTTTAAGTGATTTTAATTTTAACTTTTCCAGTCTATCAACAATATATGATTGTTTTTATATAAACTGGCTAAATTTCTGTAATTTATGATTGTGCCAAAAGTGCCCTTGTGAATGAAAGTGCCAAAAATGGCACTATTCGAAGAACGTAAATCTATAAGAAGAGACAACACGTTATAATTGTAACGAGTGGGAACATCAGGAGCGTGCTTTCTCTTTTGCCCAAATGCGTTTTGTGATTGGATGAAAAGAGAAGGCACGCTCCTGATGTTCACACTCGCTGCAATTATAACGTGTTGTCTCTTCTTATAGATTTACATTCTTTGCTCTATTGTGCCTACTTTTCCATCACTGGGTTGCCCTATGCACTTTTTTGCAAATTTCGGTCTGAGCAAAAATACTGTGGATGGCGTAGCCAGAGTGATATACACAAGAAATGTTGTATATCTTTTACAAGGGTTATAATCCCTAAGCGCGGCCGAAGGCACAAGCAAGCGCAACAGGTGGTGGACCTAGCAAAGTGCATGTTTTCAATGGCTTGGAAGAAGCTGTTATTGCATTAACTGGATTGGAAACCAGCTCTTCAGGCATAGGAGGAGTTCTGGCTTGTGGTTCAACAATTTAACCAGAAGCTGACATAGATGCGCCCATGGCTACTATGCCCGACAGCTCCGCATATCTTTGTGAAATCATTCCCTTAGCGCGCGCTTACTCCGCTGTTATTGCAAATGCAATAGAATCCATCGTGTCCTTCAAAATATGTAAAATCAAACAATTTTACTATATACAAACAAGCGTTTCATGAGTGTTTTTTTAATTCCTTTCTACTTTCTTTCTGTTTTGAATCAATCTTCTATTGCCATTTAAAATATTTTAACAACCTTGTCATTGTTGAAACTATTAACGATTCGCAACTGCATTTCAAAGAAAAATATCTCATTTATAAATCCGCCTTTACATCCATCAATTCAATCGCTTGATATTTAGATACGTAGTGGATAAGACTTTTTATACGAATATAGAGTTCAGATAATTTCCGAAGGTAATTGGTAGAATTCTGCCTATACCAGTAACCGACGAGGTTTTTAAATGAATGAAGGTAAAATTGATATTGTCAAAATTTGGAAAGCCTACTCACATTGCTGACAAAGTGACTCATTACAACAAGCTAGAGATGTTTTCTGTTTTATGAGCAAAGAAACCTACCAAAATTTTAAGCGTCCTACCATCCTACCAACGAGAGAAAACCCTACCAATTTGATATGAAAGCTGAAAACGGCAACCCTGATATGAAGAAAAACAAAGTGGAAAGGAATTAGAAAAACACTCTTCAAGTGCTTATTTATAGTAAAATTGTTTGATTTTACATATTTTGAAGGAAACGATGGATTTTATTGCATTTGCAAT